TTTTCGTGTGCAACGAGGCACGAGAGAAAAATTTTTTTTTTAATTTCGTACACTCGGTACATGAGATGAGGCTCTCTTTGTCTATATATAAGGGCGGTGAAGGCTGACAAACGTTTGCATTTTTTCTCGATAAACATAAAGAAAATTGTGAGTTACCTATTCTGTATAATTTTCTGAGCATTTTCTTTTTATTGAATTATATCGCAATAAAAACTTATGACATACTCCTATGCTTATTTTGTCTTTGTAATCACGTGCTTGCTAACTTTCTTAAATTTACAATTTTCTGTCAGATTATAAAGTAAATTCAAAAACAGTGAATAGCATCCCCACAAAAATATATTAGTTAATAATAGAAATGAGTATCTGCGATAGTACCGTGGAAGATTGATAACATCTATTTTTTTTAAGTTGCGATTTTGCTGTACAAAGATGAACGCGTTCACGCGTTTAAATATCTACTTCTTAACAATCTACACTCTCGCGTTTAATTTTTTACTTGTATTGTTCTTTGAGAAATGAGCTACCTACAACAAACTCGAAGAAATTAATATCCCTGTTGTCAGGCCAAACTTTTTCAAAGATATTTTTATAATCTTTCATACAAAATTTATAATTTATATAAATATATATATTCTTATAAATATATGCATAAGAATATTTTTAAAAGTACATACTTCTAAAAGGCACGCCCATTTACATCAGACGAAATCAGTAAACAAGCAACTGTCAGATAAGATCATCAAGGTCCATTTATTTACGACGTCGCTCATTGGAAAGTCTTTAGCTTCATGATAAAGAGTCAAAGGCTCTCACTAACCAACTGTGCTTACGCGGGCGGCGGAAGCCCATCGTTTTGCTTGTATGCATATTTATTTATGTGCACCTGATGGCACCTTTCGTCGTATGGCTAAGAGGTCATTGACGTTGTCGCGTCTTCGTTCATCGCGTTTGCCTTTTCCGGTAGCCTTTAGTCTTTCATGTAATTCTATCGCTGAATTTCGCTCGCCGAAATTGACAAGTGTATCTTTGCTAGAATTTGAGTAGGTGACAATTTCGTTAACACGGTTAAATCAGATTTCGAAGCCGATTAAATCATTTCATAATAATTGGTAATTAATTTTATTCTATGCACTGATCAAGATTTTATAATAACCTTTGTGTTTTTCTATATAATTTGTTTTTTTTTCATCAATATCAAGTTGTAGCAATTTTATTTGTAAAAAGACATGTCTCGGATAGAGAAGCAAAAATTAACAATATTCGCATAATTATACAGCAGTCCATTTTATTAATCAATAAAATTATTTTAAAAGCCACGTTATTTCGATCCAAGCTGTATATAATCCAAGATCATTATGACGGCCTTTTCTTTCACTGAACGAGCATGGAAGTGTGTTTACGAAACGATGAGTCACGCGGTTCGAGTATAAGCTATCAATGAGAATACTAGCGATCGAGTAATTAAAAGCCGTATTTCTGCATTATTCTATGTCATTTCTATATTTTATTCAAACAAGCTTGATAATCAATAAGGTTAATGCAAAGATTAGCCATCGTTTTAACGTGTGAAAACTGGTACGACCAGAGTACGATAAAAGTATGATTTTCTAACAAAGTTGCAGTTTCGCAAAAGTATGGCCTTCAGCTTGCGGTATCTTTAATTTATACTTCATTATGTATAATGTACGATCGATCAATCAAAATGATTGACCGATGTGCAATGATTGATCCGCTCATGCAATTGCTTTGATTATAAATTATAATGTCATATCAAACAATATTTTGTTTAAAAAACAAACGGTTATTAAATATTAACCAAATTTTGTTCGCGTCAATTTATCTAAAACATAATGTGCTCTCGGTTGGCGAAGAATGCTTCAACGTGAAATAAAATAGGAAATAAAATAGGTAGTGAAGAAAATAGGAAACTTCATAAAATGAGTAATTTTACGGCAAATAAAAGAAGGAAAAAGAATAGCTGATGAAGCAGATAGCTTAAAAGCGTTTCATAGCTCTGGTAGCTCACAAAAATGTAATCAAAGAAACGCTTCATTCATAAATTTTATCTTACGCCTATATGAACGGTCTATCGGGCGTTTATCGCAGTAGTGCTGTGGGCACACGTTGCCGCTGAACCACCTATGGCTTTTGTTGATTTTCAAGGTGCTCATACAAGTAGGAAGTGCTACCTATCCTCTTTATCTCAGCTCCTTTATAAAGATAACCTAGATCTCAATATACCTGGCGTCGTTCATTTATTCACTATGTATGTTGCTAATATTCTAAACTAATTTTTATTACTTCCTTTTCCTTTATGCTCAGTGAATTTATTTACTTTCACCTTTAATTTTTTATGTAATGACATGCAATGAATTTTAAAAACACAAATTGATAGAGTATAGTTCAATTGTTCAGTACGTAAATGTTGCATCTATGATGCGTCATCCTCTTCACCCTTTTCTAATAAACTTAAAGGGTCTACAGATTATAACGGTATTTAACATTTAAAAAGAATCATGATCTTTTGTACTGTAACAATGTCAATTGAGTTTAGACTAATTTTATTCAATTTTTTAATGCAATAATGAATAATAAATAAATATATTTTCGATATCTAAAATTGTAACTGCTTAGAAATTAATTCAATAAACGCTTTAACAATTTCTTATAAAAAGGATTTATATCAATGTGCTAAAATGTAGATTTATAAAATTGATAGTATATACGTTATTATTAGTAAAAATTTCTTTATAAGTATGAGGTTAAGACAAAATATATTTCTTCAAGTAAGTTTTTATTGGCAATCGACTAAATTGAATCGCGTATTATGTACATATTATGTATATATTTTATAAATATTTCGTTGATATTTTGTACGTATTTTTTATTTATTATACATAAAATTTATACAATATTTCCAAAGTAAAAATTTAGAATATGAAAATTTTTTGCGTATAATGATTAGGAGTAATCAGATAGGACTATAAGTTCTTCAACTATTTATATCGATTTCATTTATCAATCTCTGACTTCATTTATACATTATTTCATCACGAAGCGTATACACCAACGTAAGTCATAAGAAAAACACTAAAAAACGTTCGATTCGTTTTGAAATGATTCATTACGAAAATAAACAGAAATATAACTTTAAGTAAAAAATAAATTCTTATTAATAAATAGCTAGCTTTCTAAGCTTACAAGTCTTTGTTCAAATCTAAATTTAGTCAAATTCTTTACTTGCTACATACGTTGAAGAATTTTGTGATAATCCTATTTGATTATTCCTAATCATTATACAAAAAATTTTCATATTCTAAATTGGAATATCAAAAATTACATATTTTCATTCTAAATTTTATAAATTGAGAATTTATAAAATAATATAATTTTAAATTTTTCCACGAGTACAATGTACTCTGAGTATACATATAATTTCTGATATAATAGTATACATATAATTTACTTGCGGAAATATATTTTATGAGTATATATATAATATCAATTTTATCGAAAATTTAGTTTATATATATTGCATCGGATTTTATTTTAGCAATTAATATTAATATTTGACGCAATTAACACTGTTAATGTATGTTTTCTTAATTTAATACAACTTTATGTAAGCCTGATTATTGATTCTACTAATTAGATATCGTTTTTAACTATAACTTCTTAATTATATATCTCTGTTCATTAATGTTAAGACTGTTAATGTGATTAATAGTTTGTTAGTTGTAAGTTAAATAGTATAAATATATTTATATTATTTATATTATAAAGAATATAAATATATTATTTATATATAATTCTAAATTTTTAATTTGGAAATATGTCATAAATTTTATGTACAATATGTACAAAATGTCTATAAAATTTGCATAGTAATTTCTAGGGCGGTAAATGATATTTTTATTGGCATATAAAAATTATACATTGCCACCGTGCGACAAAATCGATACTATAGTATAGTATTATTTTTATTCACAAAAACTTTTACAGTATATAGAGCCACAACGCCAGTGCACTAGTGCCAGAAAAGGTGGGAGAATACAAAATGAAGGACAACGCAGTAATGTTAAAGACGATATAAAATAAGTAGAATGAATAATTAGACTTACATAAAGTTGTATAAAATAAAAAAAAATACATTAACAGAGTTAATTGCGTCAAATATTAATATCAATTTTTTAAATAAAACCGGATGTAAGATATAAAATACATTTTCGATAAAATTGATATTATATATGTATACTAAGGGTACATTGTATCTCATGGAACAATTCAAAATTAGCCAATGAATGTGACTGTTTAATAATGTTAACCTAATAACATTTTTATTATATTTTAAAAAGGTTCCATGAGATACAACGTACACTGAATATACATTTGAATGCCATCTACGAATGAATTTCTATACACAATTGAAGTTATCTTTAGTCGGTAAAATTTTTTTTACATCTGAAAATATAATTATAATATTCTCGCTAATCAGCGAATAACTGTTACTTATAATTTAGCTACGCCTACAATAGCATATTACACAAAGGTCACGTTCATGTAACTTGTTATTTTTAAAGTTTTATTCTAAAGTACACCTAGAATATAAAAAAAAATATTTCCAGCTGCATTTTTAAAGTTCGTGATTCTTTTATTTAAAATGAATTTTATTGAGATAAATAGAAAAACAGATTACACAACACTTAAATTTACAGATAAAAGTAGTATAATAGTATATGAAGAATGAAAAAAAAAAATTTCTATACAGAATTTCTTGAGTACCCTATTTAGAAACATTTCTTTAAAATATAAGTAATAAAAAATATATACACCTCAAAATGTTGCCCATAAAACTCCTTACGACGAAACAAACATTTTTTTATATGTACTTACAACAAAGTTATATTAGTCTAGTCAAATACATTAACAAAACAAAATCAGCTTTATAATTTATATTAGGATCTAAATAAATTGAATACATATAATTATTATATTGTTATTTTTATTTTGTATACAAATTTGACTTGTCTTACTAAAATAAATATAAAATTATGAATGTAAATTCGTTATCTCTATATTCATCTTTATTTATCAAAGCTAAAATGTATTGTTTGTACTTATCTATAATGTTAAGATCGAAAATACGTCAATCGTATATCAGTCACACAATTTTCACATAGAATTGGACGGCAACTTTTGCATAGTAATAGCAATTAATATTTTCTAAGAAAATAAAAAGTTATTCTACAAATACAATTCCACTCTTCTCATGTATTAGATGTATACCGTTTCAGTTTTTATCGTCTTCTTCGAATAGAATAATATTATGTAGAATAACATTAAAAAATTTGTTTGTTTAGAATATTTTCATGTAGTCTTCAAGGCCATAGAAGTTCTATGTTTGGTGATTGTAGCTCCAGCAATTCTTTGTATGCTCCATAAACAACAAGCCAACAGTATATCTACAAAATTTATAAAGTCATAAGTTAACAGGATTAAAAATTAATATAAGTTGCAGAAAATATATCCTTACATTATAACCCATCCAGATCCAATCAAAAAATGCTGCAAACGTCGCTTCGAGCTGCAGATATTATTCAATGATTAAGGTCAATTTTTGAAAATTTTAAAAAATTAGCATAATTAATTTGCGAGTAATGAAAAATAGATTCATTTGTAAAATAAACAAAGATTTGGAGATTATTGAAACTTTCTTTTGCTCATTTATCTTCAATATCAAAACATTTCACTTATGTTCAATAAAGATATTTTCTTAACAAAAAACTTGTATAGTTTCAAATAATTACAATTTATTCAATTAGAAAAAGAATTAACACTCTGAAATATTAGATATAAAGCAACCAAATAAAAGTAATAACAAAAAATTAAAAGATTTACTTACATAAATGTAATAACCGTATACCAGCCACAATCCAAATATTAATTGAAATAAACAGACAATAAACCAAGTTACCAGCCATGGCAACAACCATCCACGTACATTTCTATTGAGTCCATAAATCATCAGACCAGCAAAGAAAATCAACTGTAGGAGGTAGTAAATGAAGAAACCTCCAATTACTTGTAATGCTAAATAAAGCAATGAAGTTTTTATATTTTATCGTTTATATACACTAAACTAGAATTTTCAATAAAAATGATACTTAAGATTAATTTTTTATTTGAATAAAATGATGATTAGCTTGACTAAAATTTTATTATGGTATTAAATAATTTATCAAATTGCTTAGCTTGTTGCAATACGATCTCAACATATTTTTCAGTCATTGTTTATTTGCATAAATTAATTTTATTTCACACATCACTGTATCTCGAAATGTCAAGAAAGCTTAAAAATAAATGGTCGGAGATTAATTAGTGCGATGCATTTATTACGTAAATCACTACCAATAATTTAATCACATTTTTTTAGAGAAAATTGAAGATAAATATACTTACTTTAGACCCCCCGCCGCAAAATTAGTCAAAACTTTAAAGTTCAATGTCTCTGATAAAAATTATCGTACAGAGTCGCCCGGGGGACGCATTTAAAAGGTCTTTCCAAAAATTTTTAAATGGTATGACTTATAGATGCCATTGATTGTTTTTTAATTTTTTGCAAGCAATATTGAAAATTTTTTGCTATCTTTGAAAATTTGTTAAATCTGGAAAATAAAATTTTACAAAAATTTAAGTTAGAGCATTATTTAGCTGTATCAAGCTCTATCGGAATCACTGATCAAAAAATTATTCGTCAAAACCGACGCGCGCGCATTTTTTCTGGAAAGGGATAGTTTTTTAAAATATTTTTTATCTTCGTAAATTATAAAAATGCAAAAAAATGTATAAGAGAAAAAATGTTTATTTTTGCAAATAATACTGTACTTTTCTTTTAAGTTTTTTAAAAGAAAATTTTTAGTGATTTTAAAATTTTTTTCACAGATAGTACGCCAAAAAGATGAAAAACTACATCAAATGTTGTTTTCACTCATTCAATATTATTCTATAATAAATGTCATGCATTTTGCAAAAAAATGAATTTTTTTTTTGGTCTTAGAAAAATGTTTCTCTTTTTTGCAAAATTCATGATATTTATTATGAAATAATATTGAATGAGTGATAACAAAAATTTGATGTAGTTTTTCATTTTTTTGGCATATCAGTTTTGAAAAAAAAATTTTTTTAATTCAACAAAAATATTTTTTCAAAAAAATAAAAAAAAATAGTATTCCAGGAAAATGCCCGTGTGCGCGTCGGTTTTGACAACAATAATTTTTAATCAGTGATTCAGATAGAGCTTGATAAAAGCTAAAAAAGCTCTAATTTAAATTTTTGTAGGATTTTTTTTCCAGATTTGGCAAATTTTCAAATTTAGCAAAAAATGTTCCGAATTTTCAATGTTAAATTATTGCTTGCAAAAAATAAAAAAGCAATCGATAGCATCCATGAATTATACCATTTGAAAGCTCTTAAAATGACCTTTCAAATGCGCCCCCTGTACGACTTTGTATGTTAATTTTTACCAGAGACATTGAACTTTAAAGTTTTGACTAATTTTGCGGCGGGGGCCTAAAGTAGGTGACAGGCAGTGTATAAATATACGTACAGAATCTGACATCGGCTTCAAATAGTGGATTGTATAGCTGCGTGGAGTCGCCACCTCTCATTTGATAAGCAATAAAAGTAATTAAAACAAGACTAATTGCCTGAAATAAATAGAATCAATTTATAAAAAACATTTCGCAGAATACAAATGATTTTAAATAAATGAAAACATACCTATCTAAGATGTACGTAAAATTATAGTTAATTTAAGGTTACGAATATTGAAAGCTGTACTCACAATTGTATAAAACGCAATGGCTTTGGTTGCAGTTCGAATACTGTTTGTCCATATAATTGGAGACCAACATGACTGAGGTAGCTTCATTTTCATAGAATTTTGATTGTTTGAAATAAAAAAAAAACGACCAATGAATCACACGCTGCTATCGTAAAATGGCAACAGGCGCGACTGTTTATGAGAGTAAACCGTAGACCGTAGGGCGTTGTCTGAGTCCGACGTCTCTCCGTCTCCGAGACAGCGGCGCTGCGTTGCGTGCTGCTAGTGTGGGTCTAGGGACCCGATACTATGCCCTCGCACGCCGCACGGCGGCACGACTACTAACCGTGCATCTTATTATCTTAAGCGGGAATTTCGTTATACGTAGGCATTTTAACTTGTGGACGAACTTGAGTTTTTTCAATCCTTTGATAAGAATATGTTAAAGAATTTGTTACAAATTTTCAGGAATATTTTATTATTACGTTATATTGAGCAAAAGTAGTTCTTTGATTGTATAATATCAATTTTTTTCAAGTATTCTATTAAAAATCAATATATTCAGCAGTTTTGGTATTTATATGGAACTTTTTTAAATAATTTACTTTATTATATTATTATATTTATACACTGAAATGTTAATTTGTAAATTGATGTACTTATAAAGTATTACTTTCTTAACGTGCTTCCTATTTCTCTTATATGTAAAATTCATTATTATATTTACGTGAACTTTCTATCATTATATTGACAGACAATTACCATGGTTTGTACAAATAGCACAGGTCTTGTTTGAGTAACATAATCACTATTGTACATATTTAAATCTACCGGTTAAACGTTAGATGTGAAACGTTACAAATGACAATACTTGAACGTAGAAAATATCTTCACCTATCACTGTATTTCTAATCGGTACTTCCTGAAAATCGCTGGCGCGATATCTCACACACGTTCTTCCCATATATTCTTCTGCTCCGATTTTATTGCACGCTCTACTCTTTTTTATCTTGCTCATTCGTTCACGTGACCTTAGTTCTGAACTCAGTTTTATTATTCTTTGATCTCTTCTTTTCAGCAATCACATTTTCTTCTTCTTTATTTTTCACCTTTACCTGCTCGTCGATATGTCGATTCTTTCGCAGTCTAAAAATTTAAGATCATTCTTTGTACAGAGTAGTCGTGCGTCCTCATAAGTATACCTACAACATACGTAGCAGTGAATCCGTGCAGTATAAATACACTCCCGCATGCAGCGGCTATTTTTTCAGTCCTTTCACTCCTCTCTCTCTCTCTCTCCTCTCTCTCTCTCTCTCTCTCTCTCTCTCTCTCTCTCTCTCTCTGTTACTTGCTCGCAAACGTGCGCGCGAGCGAGCACACACACCAACGAGAACTCTCATGCTGGCTGGTATAGTTGTGGTAGGTGGCCATCGTCAGTGCCGGGGCTGACCGCACGGCCTTAAGTCCCAGGCAGGCGGCGCTGACGCAGCAGCAGCAGCCACCGCACATTCTCGTTTTTCCACTCGGCAGAGATTATATTATTCGCGCCCGCGCTGTTGTGACTCCTTTAATTCTTTTTCTTATTCGACACAGACGCTGCGTCGTTTTTTTTCTTTCTCATTCTTTCATGGGTGGAACGTAAGTATTTGGTACCATGATGTTTCGGTTATCATTGTGTACCAGGATATATATCTGAAAAGGTGATGTGTGCTGCTCTTCTGCATCAGTGCTGGTCGATAGCGGTTGGCGAGCATTATTTAATTTTTGACCTGCGACTATCTATACGTTTGTGGCTCCTGTCGATAAGTTGAGTGATCGTGAATAAAGAAACGATAGCGAGTAACTTTTTTTGTTTTGTTCTTGACGATCTGTTGTTTTGCTGAAATAGCCAAAGGAATATGCTGCTATCAGATTGCCAATTGACTGAATTGCTAGATGCACTTATGGGAACCGCATTTCAATGATACTAACCGTAAGTATGTGCATATATTTTGTTAATTATCGTTAATAAGGATATTAAAAAAATAACGTTCACTATACACATCGCGAGTCATTACTCTCACTAGTTGACAGACGAATGATATTGATTTAAAACAAGTAAATGCAATGAAGCGCAAAAAATGTGCGTATGTCGCAGAAATCGGAGATGTGTCGATGCACGAAGCATTACGAATTCGGGTACACTTGTAAATGGCATGCATATGCCATTTAAAATATAAATATATTTTGTGCGGCTATTGAAATTTTGCGGGTATTCGTTTGGATTGTTTACAGTGTGACTTTTCGGTTAGGTCAAGTAATGCTTGAACGAATTTATATTTACTGATGGAATTGAATTTCAGACACAATGTCCCCGAATTTTTTTATGTAATGGTCTAGAAAGAAGCTGGTATCAGGCTCTCGTTAAGCGAAGGGCATGTAATTGAAAAATGATAGTGCATTAGCTGCGCATGTGGTTGAGGAGAAACCGCGCAGGGCACCAACGAAGGCCGATCGGCGCAGCTTTATCACTCGTGTACGATCTTGGCGTCGAGTGATGCGCAGCAGTAGCGACTTATACGACATGCTCCCCATAGAAAGTCCTTTTATGATCAATGGTTATTCGCAAGCAAGCCCGCACTGCCGTCAAATAGAACAGAAGACACTTGTGAAATGAAGAAATTCTTAACACATAGCATAGTTCTTTTTGGATTGTTTCTCTTTGAGAGCTTGCCGAAGAATTGCAGCTTTTGTACGAAAGTTAACTGTTTGAAAAATTCTCGTGTCTAATTAATTAGTCTGCTGATATGTGTAGATTTTTATTTTGATTTTGAATGCGCTCAAGTATTTGTACTTGAATTGTACAGAGCTTGCGACTGGTCATCAAAGAATACCTCTCAAACGTACTAACTATAGTTAGATCATTCGAATTATTACTTCTAAGTTACTTCTGCAATTGCTCCCGCCTTTTATGACATTAAAAGCAACTTGATAAGCAATTTTATAATACAAAACTAGGTCCTATATCTATCATTTGATTCGTTGGTTCTTATAGTCTAGCTACACGTAGTGTTCGTTAATGTTGAGCAGATACTTGAAAGACTAGAAAGAAAAGAAGTATATAGTTACGGACAAAATTAATATTGTATCCCGTGCACGTGGCTGCTACTTCCTTTCGGGCAGTACCGTATACAAGTGGGCCGAATACGCCGATACATAACTGCGCTCCCTCGAACCGGAACGCAAACGCGCTGCTCTATATTTCAGGGCGCGCGTACGTCTTTCTTGTGAATCGAATTTAATGAGACACATATACCGAGAATGATGATGCGACGATATGCTACTCTCGATTATCTCTTTCCGCGAGATATTCGCGATGTACGTGCGCTTTTCCTTTTCTTCGCTTAGAGAATCTGCGTGGATGCCTAATGTCTTATCTCTCCTTGATATTCGTCGGTAAGTGGCTTTCTTCATATTTGTGCATAAGTCAAGTTTCGTTTAAGTGGCTTGACTAACACGAATAATGTTACAATGGTAAATAGGTAGACAAAAGCATTGATTTTCAACAATAGCATTGACTTTTAGCAATATCTCTAATTCAAGTTCAAAACGTATAAAGATCAAGTCAATCTCGTAACTTTCGTTCAACTGGAGTGATGTACGTTGAGAGCCGTGTCAGACTTGTAGCGCAAGTGCCCGTGAAAAATGGATGTGAGCATGATCCTCCAGCTAAACATGCGTGGCGGGACCAGCTTGTGCATGGTCTACGAGTGACGGTACGGATTCGTTAACAACTTCGTCAAGGAGCTACCGCCTCTTGACTCAAGAAATAAAAACTCGCACCGCCGATTGCATCATTGCATAGATCCTGTTTTAATGTTGCAACCGTCGGAGGTTTGTATGCAGAGAAAGAAAGCTGAAGATGACACGGCAACGCATTTCAAAGTTGCACCGCCACTTAGCCAGCAAGCTCGGCTGCTCTCTCGTAACCGTGGATGAGAGAGAGAGAGAGAGAGAGAGAGAGAGAGAGAGAGAGAGAGAGAGAGAGAGAGAGAGAGAGAGAGAGAGAGAGAGAGAGAGAGAGAGAGAGAGAGAGAGAGAGAGAGAGAGAGGGGCTGGCTCATTCGCAAGCTCTCTCGCGGAGGGATGTTCTAGTGCGAGCACTCCGAGCTACGCCAGGCCAATTGCTTTATCGTTAATTGGCTCGACATTCAGCCCGCACGCGAGCGCGTTACCCGGACGATCGTCAGCTGTGCTCTCGTTTCTTTTCATTCGCATGTACGTCATCGTCGCGTGGACGCGCGGCACGGACATTCGCGTCAATTGGCCTGTCACTCTTGAGAATGTTGTAGCTTTCGATAGGTAGACGAGGTAGATGTAGTCGAGCATGTCATCGAATAACCTTCCGTTTACCGATGGCTTTAGCTGGGCTGCTCATCCACTCGATTTTTAGCTCGTTTGCATCAATTCCGCTTACGATACGCGCATGAAATGGCTGACAGTCCGTATAATGAAGCGAGAATTTCAATATCCTCGACTGAAATGCAATGTTTCGTTGACAGCCTGCCCCACTCTGCTGAGATTTCGATGCGGCAACGCTTGCAACGATAGACTTTGAAACAAGCGCGTGTATGTAAGAAACGTATCTTGAAGCACACAGCGATGCAATGCATTCGAGCACACGTGCGACTTATGGTTTTGACGATTCAGCGGAATTCCGTCGCGACTGCATGGCCGCCGGGCAATGTTTGATGCCCGATGATAGTCGTGTATACCTTGCATTGTTCGTTGACGACAGCGGCATTCTTCAGTTAGCTCCTTACTCGCCTTTATTTACGCTATGCCACTTAATTGCTTCGGTCGTTGTTTACATGATACGGAACCAAAGCTATTTCGACATTAGCGAGATTTCATTTTCAATTGAGAATTGAATGGTGAAGTATCGATTTTACAAGAAACTCTCGATTAATTAATCAACAATGGTCCAGCATTGCACAACTAATGACCTCGTTAATGCTTTCGCTGAGACTTCAGAAACACATGCTTCTCCCTCAATAAGGAAACTAAGCAATATACAACTGAATATTGCTGAGTTACCTAAGCAGAAAAGGGAAACGAAAATGAATAATTGATCGAGCACATAAGTGTGGCCATAAAGGTTTTCAGTTTTAAATCAACAGCAGCAATGTATGCGCAGCAGTGTCGCCTCGGGCATCGAACGACAAAATGCACAGGCGGCTCGACGACCACGTTTCTAATCTCGACGCTGCGTATAAATATACGCGTGGTACGCCAAAGCGAGTACATCGCCGCGACTGCCATTTTTTTCACGACAATCAATCTCTGCTCCAGTTTTCCTCATCTTACTTATCGCATCAAAATATCGAAGGATTATGGTTTTTGCTCAGCGGCAAACAGTCTTGTATACCCAGTATACATGATTCTACATTTTTCTCCACGCGCCTGCTAGACTCTTTTCCCATGTGCTTCTCTTAGGCTATCTTTAAATCGGGCCAAGCTCTCGCCATCTTCTTCTTTCCTCAGCTTCCAGCTCGCCACCTGTCATTCATATGGATATCTTTATTGGCCCATTGTCGCGTTTGCTGTTCCAGGCGTCTCTTTCTATTTCTATATTTCACGGCTGTTGGATTTCTCGAGTGGCCCGTTTTCTTGGCACCGGCCCCTCGCTCGGACTTTCGCCAAGCAGCTCACTACACGCACGCACGCACGCACGCACGCACGCACGCACGCAGTCAGTGCTCGGCTTTGCGCTTCGACGCACACACTTTCCGGGAGGCTGGTTTCGAGTGCTCGGTCGGCTTCGTCAGTTCAAGGTGTATTAACGCTTTGCTTGTAATTGTGCGCGCTGCGTCAGTGGTCAGTGATACGGGACTATTATCAGCGAAGCTAGCGGGTTCGCTGACGCGCAGCGACCGATCGATACTATTCGCATTGCATGTGAAGATTAACGTGTTGTGTTTGTCGAGCCACACTGCTGCTGCGAAGCTCCTTGCCGAACAAACTCCCTCGATGCTCGACTTGCTGCACTCTTCCAATTTGGCAATTTTGCAAGTGCACGCGTCGATTTTCACAGCGCTTACGTAACTGGCGGCGTAAGTTGCGGGCTGCATTGATAGTTCATCGTGAAGTCAAGTGCTTTGCAACCAAAATATTTATGCAGGGCGTCGGTTGATATTGAAAAATGTAATCAATTCGTACAATTGGATACATTCGAAAAGTGATAGGTCTTAGGACTAGGAGCACGTTTTCAAGTGCTTTTCCAAACGAACCTATTTAGTCGGCACGTATTATGAAATTGACAAATCTGTTAGACATTTTGAATCTGCGACTAATAAATTGTATTGACGGTGAGGGGACTGTGGTCCGTGTCGGCGACCAATAACCCAAAGCCAATAAAGCCTCAAAGAATAAGTGGAGAGAGCTCGAAAGATAACAAGATTAGACGGCTTAAAATTAGCGACGGAAAATAAAAGGGAAACAGATGCTTCGAGTGCTGCGCGGCTGAAAAAGAATGGCAAGCGCGTTATAAATATAAAAGCTTCGTAGAACTGAATACGGAATGCGAGTGTGAAAGAAGCCACCTTTGATTATTCTCATTGCTGTTTCGTTAAGAGACTCGAGTGCACTTTCATTGGCGTGAAACTTTAACGAGCAATTACTTCGATCGAATAACGATGCTTACGTATCCTACGTATAATGTATCTTTGTCTTTTATTCAGCGTGTCGGACGTCAAAGGGAATTCGAACAAGTGAGAAAACGCTTTCTGCTACTAGATCTAGACTGTCGTATTAGGAGGCTACGAGTAGAGCCCCGGATTGTATTTCTAACTGTGTGCAAAACTTTCAGTCTTAGCCATTCATTTTAACAGTCATTTTCATTCGTGGATATTTTGATATTTGCGTTCGTTGATAAAGCTAAATGTGACTTTTTATATTGTTATCTGTAAGCACGCTTTCAGGCGTGATCTTCTTTTCAAGAGGAGACGCGCGTAATAATTTGCGAAAGGTGTCAAAACAGTTGTCCTGTTGAACATTTTCTAAGTTGCAACAATACGACTTTTCTTTCTCGTAGAGCGCTAAATAAGCAATAATATATTTGAACTAACTAAACATTTCTCCCGGTGGACAATACATTAGATTACTGGCAATTTCACTCGATAAGGTTCAATCACTTTTTCTGTTGATAAAAACCAAATGAAAATAATTACAGATCCAATTAATTAAGCGATAGCACAGCCTCGATCAAACTTTCCAAATATCCAATAGATTCTGATCTGATGCCATTTTCACGTGCTATTTAAAACTTTATCGAGCTGCCAGAACTTGCTCTTTTTTCAGTCGAACAATCTCAACAAGACGTTGTTTTTAGAACAGAAAGATATTGAATGGCAATGTCGATTAATGCGTGCACCCAAGTGTGAGTAGGTCAACAGGCCTAAGCTTGTGATCAAGGAAAATTTAACCCTGATAAAAGTACTCGAAATCTCGTGAACTAGCTCAGACTGATTCATCAACAAATCGGAAAGAACAAAATGATAGTCGAGCGAGGCGATGAAAGAAAAAACCGCCAGACTGCATGAATGAGAGTTCGATTGCCTAAAGCACAGTGCAAGGAATGTACGACAAGCGTAATTCGTCCACGGAGATTCATCGCTGCCCCCTAGCGCGGCACTCGCGTCGACAGCAGCAGCTTGCGAGCAGCGAGATGAAATCGCCTGCAGGTTGTGCCTAACATCTCGATCACACGAGCTTCAATCTTTTTACTTTTTGGAGTCAATTCAAGTTCAAGTCTCAAATGTGGACAGATGTGAGTCTTTAGGCCGAGTTATAGACTTATACATTTCTGTAATTTTTGCATTTTCTAAGCAAATTCACTTCGTGCAAATGCGACTATTGTGTTTGTGTCATGTTAACGTGGCATTAATAGCATTTGCAATAGTTATTTTAAAGATAGGTTTTTACAGCAACATTGCACGTTGATCAATGAGGCATAATAACCGCTATTACAATATTCTACTTTGTTGATTTATTGCCCATTTAACAATAAATTCTGTTAGCGACTGTAAGCAAATATAATAGTTTACTTTCACAATCTTCGTTGTATTTAAAGTCAAGTCACAAAGGTGAGAAAACTTCCAATTCAAATATTACTGAGGAGTGTTAATAAGTGTCGTAAAACATTAACGACTCTGAAAATCCCTTCGAGTAAGTGTTAGTATCCTCGAGAGATTCGAATCTGATTTCGCTAATTAATCAGCATTCGCTGGTTACGAATGCGGCATTGTACTGTGTTAATAAGAAAATCCAACTCATCACCTTTTATCAAAAAAAGTTGAATAGATGAAAAATCTATTATTTCCATGCTTAATAGGTTGTCAAGCAATATATGAATATACATGTGACACGCATCTCTTTGAAACATCATGTGCCTCGTGACATTAATTCGCCCAAAATGAGCTGAAAGAAATGGCCTCGCAAATGTAATTTTTCTCTTTCAAGGCTAAAGTGAGTATGCGCTCGCTTGAAAATTCTCGCCCAAGTTTTTTGTCACATGATTTAAACAAAGCTTATGTCGTTGAAAAATTCAATTTGGTACCGTCTCAATTCTCAAGAATCATCAGAATTGCCGTACTTTACGAGCGCTATAAATTACAGAGTCTTCAGCGAGGTCAATCCGGATTTTCCCTCTCTCCATGAACTAAATATTTGCTCATCGAAACAAGACTTCTTTTATACGAGTATTGTTATATTTGTCGAACAAGATGTAATTAAACAATGACAATCTCTCGATCAGCGTAAATCTTTATGGTCAAGGGTGTATCAAACACAGGAAGTGCAGATTTCACTCAAAAACAAAATAAAATTATTTTATAACTCGAGATGACTGATTTAAAAGCCAATTATAAGCAAATTCGAGTATTCTTTGTGATCAAAAGTAATATGCTTTGTAAGTGAGGATGTGTGTTTATTAATAAGTCTTTTAATTATGTTCTGCGAGATAAATATCCTCACGTGAGTTTAACGTATCGTTTGCGTTATTCAAATAAATTCTCATGTATTTTCTGCCCTCTTTGTATTAATGACTCTTGAATATATTTCAAGTGACATGCTTGTTTATTTCTAAAGATACACTGTTTCTTTCTTACACTACAATGGATCATTTTTATGATTTTTTAAAACAATTTTCATATAAAGTAACACTTTATAGCAGTAAAAAAAGCAAAACGTCATTGCCTTGACCTGCTTACACGAAAAAAAAATCGGAGTACGCCGACGCTATTTCACTGAATCGGAAGATAAATTTAAAATTGATTTATTCGCTGCGCACTGTAGACTCCACGTGGATTCAATGACAATTTTCATATAACCGTCAGAATTACGTTTTGATTTCTACTTAACCGATCGGCAAAATAATGTCACGGTGAAAGGGGATTTTCCTTTAGTTGTTGAGGGAACGAAGATGTTTAATCAGATTTCGATTTGATTAGCTTATGCAACGACTTCGTAAATTATCGACTCGAATTCTAATGAATATTTTAACGCAACTTCAACAGGCAAAATTGATAATCCTTACGCGCAAAAGCAAATTGTATATTGTATAATATTAAAAATATCAATTGATTGTACAGCGTTGTTTATTTTTTGATTGCAGCGCCATTAGGGAAGGATGAAGGATGCCCCGAGCCGCAAGAGACGGAGGCGGGGAGAGGACGTCGACGCCAGATCAAGGTTACGGTGCTTGGCTCTGCGGCGCCGCCAGACCTGTAACCATCGGTTCTGGTGCCAGCTACGTCCTCCTTGGTGGCACCAGATATGGCCTACGATTGTCACAGGTATAAACGACTATAATTTTAATGTAGGAAAATACGTTTTTTTGCGGTTTATTCCATAAAGTGCCTATTCGCTTTTCGCTTTCGATGCTCCGTGCATAGTATGCAATTTCGAAAAAAGTGTTTTGCTTATTTCGAAGCATCAGAAATTAGCTTTCAAACGGGAAATGGCATATCCCTGGCAATTTTTTTTCGAGATAATCAGATCACATAGTCTTTAGCACATGGGAATATATCAACATGGAGATATATCAACATATTTCTTTTGGATTTGCTCAAATAAAGTTTGGAAAACATTCCATGAAAAATACGTAGAACGTTTTACTCTAACGGACTGACTGTATAAGTATCTTAAAAGACTTTTAGCTTGGAGACTAAAATCGTTGCACTCATCCCATGACAATCTAAGTTGCTTTCACAGCCCGCGGGAGGTAAGTGATCGAGCGCCTTATCGCCGAGGTTCATTCTTATTATGTGACATTGTTGCGTCTTCACTTTATCAAACGTGTCTTCTTTTCTTTTAAACCACTATCGAGCAGCTAAAGTTACTTTGGCAGAACAAATGAGTACGCGAATAGCAGATGCCAGTGAAGAACGTTGTATCTCGAATAAAGTTTTATTATCTTTTTTGATTCAGTTAAAAATTCCTATCTCAAATTTTTCACAACAAACAGTATCAAATAATAATGTTAGGCCTTGTTAATATAGAGTGATTTTTAAATTTTATTTGAAATGCCACGATGGAATGTTCATCGGTTCATATTGCAGATTCGCATGCCTACATGTAACTTTATTATTCAGAAATTCAACAGCTTACTTTCACTTGGATGTAACTTTTTTTGACACACTCTCGCCTGCACGTAATTTTTTCTTTTATCTCAGTACATTCAGTATCTTAAAGTTACTGTCTCATACCAGTTTTTTTCCTCTTCATCGCGAATATCAAGTTTGCCGTGATTTACGCCTGTCTCAATGCGCGTAATCGTCTATCTACTGTTGCTGTTGTTGATAAGGCTTTTTAGGAGTAGTAACATTTATATTCATTTAATGCTCCATGCGATTTTTTATTTTATATTGTGACTGTTTCAATGAGTTATTCATGATTCTATGACAGAATGACAGGAAATTTACGTTAAGCGACGCGTTAACAAAAAATTGGAAGAATAAAACGATCGATAACTTTGAATACCACGATGAACAATGTTTTCAAAGCAATTCATAAAATTCAAACTACCAAACTTTCTTCTACGAGCCTTGTCAGCTGCAGCGCATTGCAATTCAACTGACGAAAGATGGAAATGAAAAACCAAGAAACGACTTTGTCAATTATTGTTTGGATACTTTTAGCGCTACTCTCTTGTGACGTATACCTGTCTCTTAATAGCTTGGGTACACGTACAGGGACAGAGAAGAAACGAGTTTACATGCACGGAGTTGGCGGTGTCGGCGTTTCCTACGGTGCGCTCTATGTTCCGCGAAGATCCATTTCAGAGTAGCGCGAGAGCGAGTGAGAGAGGAGTTTATCTGGAACGAGTTCGTGAGAAGACTCGGAGTCACCTTATCCTCCTCTACTATTGCCAATACAGTATCTCTTGGCACGCGGATTCTATTCGTGGGTGTATAACGTGCGCGCGATTCTCTTCCTTGGCTTTCCCTGCGTTTGAAAATTTCAGTTTTTTTTCTGCCATTCCTTGACTCGCTCAATGAACGCTTGGGACTGCTACTGATGTGACATTTCTTTTTATCAGATTCGTATTTCGACGAATGATTTCTGGTTTTACTTCGCGTTCGATGTAAATTAATGTTTTAATGCATTATAAGGTTGCGTCGCCAAAGCTCTTAGGCTCAAAGGCCTTATTTTCAGTTGTGTTCTAAGTAACACCGAAATGTATCGATCACGAATTTTGCGAGCACGTACGATATGACTGTTTATCTTCAAATTTATTTCGATATGATTGTTCATCTTCAAATTTAGCATAGAATGCCACATATCGGAGCTATTTTTAATTCGAGAAGTATTTTTCGACAATTTTTAATTCGAAAGTGCTTCGTTATTTATGTACTGCCGATATTTGAAATATATGTTACAATAATTTAAAAATATAGCCGTTATACGAAATTCTTATATTATATAATTATAATAACTTGAAATTCATTTTAACGACTATCGAATTATATATTCAAAACTCCACAAATCATTTATGTTAACATTATTTGTAAAAAAAATCTACGCGACTAGATTTTATTTACTATACAAAACATTTATGGATGTGAAATAAATTTTAGCATAAAAGAACTCATTCTACAGCTTACAATCAGCATCAATCTTTAACAAATTTTATAAATTTTTATTTTTTAGAATTATTAATTTGATCATTAACTAAAAACAAACTTCTGTTATATAATGATACGACGGTTAATTTATCATGTCCGCATATTTTTAATCTGTATTATAACCATTTATGCAGATGGTCCACTTAAGGTGAATGAAGGTGATAAATAATCCAAATAATAAATGAAAGTTTTTTCTAGTTCAAATATGATTTTTTAAATTGAAATATTGGCCATTCTGAAAATCATATATGTTTAATATCAGTACTTTTTTAAACAACTTGGAGAAAGTCAGCGAAAAACAGTATTACTTATTTTTCAATATAAAAGTTTCAACTGTGGATAAAATATACAATCGAATTTACGTAAAAAGAATTATATTCGCAGGATACTATTGTGAGTTCTAGATTCCCAACGTAATAATGCTATAGAAGGTAAAGTAGTAATCACTTAAATATACAATTTGTAGTTTCATAGTTTATATTGAGAGGGAATTTTTTTAGCACATACAAGAAATCTAGGAAAAATTATTCTATTTCCTTAATTTGAAATTTGATATCAATATATATAAATATCAAATAGACTTCTAGACACCGCTGGTACGCCTTATTTATTTTCTAAGTTCCTGAGTGGTTCTGTTATAGTTTGAGAATGCATTAAAATTTGTGTTAGAAATTAAAAAAAATTGATGACTTCGGAAGTAACAACGCCAAAGTTTTCCTTCGGCTTGTAAGTCGTAGAATCCAAAAATCCCCGTGTCGTGCAATGAATACGTTTTTTGCGAAATATCAAGCTTCTTAGACTTTTTTAAACATATAATTAAAATGACGAGATAAGAAGAAAATACTACGTTAAATACTACTATCAATTTGCATGGACGAGATTGAGGAAAGATATTAAGCAGCAGATAATATTTTGTTTTGATTTAGGCTAACAACTTGTTTTATACACAATAATAACAGAGCGATAACAAGAATAAATGAGAACACTAATAACAAGACAGAAGCAAGACTAAATAACACAGTAACGGCTTAGATGAAAATTCGGCGTTAAAAACGTCCCAGTGGAAGGAAAAAAGGCACATTTTTAGAAATGTAAGAGCGGCGGCGCGGATCGTTAAATGGAAAGGTGAATTGACTATTGCAGCAGAAAGTCCAAACTGCTATCGGGATGCGTTTCATTTGCATGGATTGTACGGAGTCTCAGACCTCTTAGCCGCTTCCAATTTACTAGGGTCGATGCCCTCATAGGATCTCCGCGCGACTCGCAAACCCTTCTGCTAGCTCGTGCTACGTCTTTCTCTCTCGCTATCCCCTGTTTATTACTGTTATTTACGGCTGACGCCTCCCCTACACTGTTTTTAGTGCCCGTAAGACTCGAAAGTCACGTGCTTGGCGTGACTGAGTTGCAGCTTCCTCAGCGACGAATTCACATGAAGCATTCGTTTATCGTGACAGCGTCGACAGTAGCAAATGTTACGTAGAAATCAATGTTCCGTTATTATTACAGGACAGCCTGCCACCAGCGGATTCCCGAGAGCAATTGCTGGAGCGTCGTCGAACCCGCGACTCGCAGGATGCGGATCATCAGCGCCTATCGAGCGACAACCCATCGTACTGCGCAAAGCCAAGTCTAGCAGGCGAGTGCTGTTGCATCGGGGCACGGGCTCGTCTCTTACCTTTAAGTGGCGGCGGCAGTGGTAGTGGCGGTAACTCGCGGATACCGTCGCCGTCCTGGACCAGCAGTAGCGGCGCTCGTGCTGCGCCAAACTCGCAGCAACCGACTAATAATAGCCGGGCCTGTTGGCCGACGGCCGAGTCTCAACAGCAGCACAAGCACCAGCAGCAGCCAGTCACTCGGCAGCAGCCGCTGCTGCTTAGACAGCCGTTTTGGAGCAAAAGCCTCCGGCTACAGGTATCAAGACAAAAGAAACTCTTGTTGTTATATACGTTTATGCTAAAGGGACGGCGGCAACCGCTGCCCATGGAGTTTGTCACTAACTTATTCGTAAGCTTTGTGGATTTTTGTTGGTCTCCATAACATCATTTCTATGCGAGATACATATTGCTCAATTTCACCAATATATTTCAAGGAGAGAAAGAGTTGTGTGTGTGTGTGTGTGTGTGTGTGTGTGTGTGTGTGTGTGTGTGTGTGTGTGTTTATTTTTACTTTTCCCTCTGTGGAGAAAAAAGGAGAAAAGCCGACGCTAAACGTGTGATGTGTGTTTGCTCGTTTGAGAGGATTCTTCTTCGCCGCCGTTTCGTTTCCAACGCACGTTTCGAGTCAATATTTCGACAGTTACGACTTTTGTACGAGTGCCCGAAAAATATTCTAATTAGGGAAAGTTTCTGAACAGTGCATGTGACATTCCCGAACAAACGTGCCATCAGCTATTGTGAAATTTTGGAAAATATAGGGAGATTATTTTGAAAAATCAGTGATTCGTGTCGAAAAAGTCTATACAAGTTTCATTTATACAAAATTTCATTTCAGTTCTTATAAGCGCTTTCAAACCAATTTTTTTTAATTAGAGCTATTCTTATATAAAGATTAAAAACTCGCCGCTACTTTTTCTTCACTCAAATTCTACAATTTTTTTTTTTAATTATAACTTTCATTTGTGAAGTGTATGGGGACGTTATATGTTGAAAGTTCTATCAAAAATATTTCTAAAAATGTAGGGATGAGGCGGTAATATCGGCATCTTTAAAACAACATAGTCTTTGTACGATAACATATCCCTAAAAAATTTGAGTATTTATTAATTAAATTTGTTTTCTTCTTTCCATTTGATTTAGAATATTTTCGATAAATTATTAAACTTAGAACGGCATCTTGATTTCTGTCTCTTGATCCTCAAAGTTATCAGCATTCCAAGGCTACCAACCTTCAAATGTCAAACGGCTATTCTGAAAAAGCTTTTACGAAAGAAATGTCAACAAGCACAATGAAAAAGAAAAATAAGAAGCACAACTCTTCCTTCTTGAATCAATAGCTCGCGTAAACATTTTTTACGCCATCTTTCTTTCAATTAATAATGCTCGTTTTTATAAACTTAAAAATACAGGAGCCAGCCGTAACAGCAGTGGACCGATTGCAAAGATTCCGATGGAACGGCGGCGGTGGCAGCGGTGGCAAAAAATCGTCAACCTCGCGCAACAGCGACAAGGCCGAACGGCTGCGCGAGCTTACAGAAAAGCTAAAGGGCCCGGCTCCAGTGCCGCCACCGAGGCGGCCATCCCGTGCTCATACATCCTCTCCACCACCAGTTGACGAACGGCGCAATTACGCTTTGCAACAGTCGGATGTGAGTGCTTTTTCTCTTTTACTCTTTGATATGTTTGTATATTTGAAACATTGATAACATGTTCATCATGAAGTACAATTTCAATGAAACTAGTTTTGATTTCCTTACTATTCCATTGACGGGAGGTCATTATTCATTAGTTCAATGGCAGTCAAATATACTGTAACAAGGTATATTTTTCTATTGATTTTGTATGGAAGCTGTTGAAAAAACAGGTTCTACTGCATTTATTATAAACTATGAAAATAGGTTCGCAAAAATTATTATCCACACATTTCGATCCTCTGTTAGTATCTAACTTGCTATAAAAGTAATTCAAATTATAAATCGATTTAATTAGATTAAAATAATATTTCTGAATAATTCTATTAATTTTGATACAAATGTAAGCATACGGTAACATGGCCATCAAGATATTCTAGAGATTTTTACTTTTCTTTTACTTTTTTAAAAATATTTTCATTGTTCATTTTGGCGATTTCGAGCTTCCTAGTAACAATTTTCTCTCGAATTGGTGGAGGGTAAAAGCCACTAATAATCCGAGGGATTAGCTCATTTCTCCTTTCACTCATCTTTATACTCATGTTTTACGCGAATACGTAGGTATTAATTTTTGTATTTACTAAGACCTTGACAATTTCGAATCAGCGATGGTTTATTTTATTGTCGACGCTTCTAAATATAATACTAGGTTCTCTTACCTCTATAACTTGACACAAAGAAATTCAACCTATACTCTATCATTCGTTAATTTATTGGTTTACTTTTCTGTGTAATACGATAATATAACTTTCCTGACGTAAAATCTTCTCTCAAAACACATTACAAAATCTTTCCTCAATACTTTCTTCCAAAATTCACAAATGAAGATTATATTTCACGCAATTGAAAAAACAATCACTCAAAAAGTAGTGCAAAAGCTCAATTAATCTTGTTAAAAATACCATCTACCACGTAAGTTCTACATTCATCTACGATTTCTTGCATAATTGAACATGAAGCTTTTCTGATAGATTTCGCAACGATTTGGTACATCCATTCTCCCTTCATTGATTAGAAAGCAACCCTTGTTTATTGCCCTTTGTAATGTGGCCTTGAACGACACCTGTCCGCATGCCATTCAAATAATCTCTGGAACGCGCCTGCGTACATTATTCGGTTTATTGTGCTTTCGAACCTCGCGCGAGCTTGAATGTGTGGGTCTGTTTCTCTCTCTTACTTCAGCTAAATTAGAAAATCTACGGCGCAGCTTCTGCTAGACTGGTCGGCTCTGGGAAATTGGAGGCTATTTCATTCAGAAGTTTCATTGCTTGGCTATTTAATGCATATCAGCGAGTTTGCGCCTTTGTTTCTTTGAATTTCTGAGATATTTTCGTTGAATTTTCATTTATACTGTTCATTGTTATGAGGAAAACCTTGAAGGTTCTGGAATCTTCAATAGAGAAAATATCAATATCGTATTAGTTGATATGATGATTTTGGAAGATAATTATTTTACTTGAATCGCTGTACCAACTTGAATCCATACTTTTCTTAAAACTAGCAAGACACTTACAGGGTTAAATGCATAATGAAGTCAAAATTAAATCTAATCAAACATAAAATTTTATTTACTTATAAGTGACGAAAGAAAAATAGAAAATTTTTTATAATTTCTTTTTTAGTTGACAGTCAATCAAAACACTGGTCGAGTCTCCTGTCGCAGTTACACCTTTAGCGAGGGTAGCCATCATCCACGCGTTCCAAGTGTAAATTCTTCGCCGCCACCAGCACCGCCACCTCTGCCACCGATACCACCATCACCGCCACCATCATCGTCGTCATCAACACGTCCTCGTCAGTTACTTCGAAGCGAGAGTCTAAGCGAAGAATATTATGATCCGGAGGTTGATGAGAACGACGCTGCTGTTGATAATGCAAGCAACGGAAAGAGTCGACATTACAGACAGTCGAGTGATTCGTTGGTCGGCGATACGAGTAATAGTGCCAAAACGAAATTGGACAGGTGTGAAAGCGTGAATTTGTGCGAAAATGAAGCAAGAGACGCCTTGCCAGGTCTCATGGAGCTTAGAACTTCTTCGCTTTATCCCACGCAGAAAACTGGACAGCCTTATCGGAGTGCATCATTCGGACAAGCTGATTATAGTTACGGTAAGTGATAAATTTCATTTCACGCATGAAAAAAATTTACGTGAGAGCATCTCAATTATCAATATATCAAAATACTAATTGAGGTGATTGTTGACTATCCACTTCTTAGTAAATATTTTGCAAAATAATTTGAATAGCAAATATGCTGATGATTGATAGATCAATACGGTGTGGAGATGGTAAAAGAAATTTCTTCGAATAGATCGGTTGAGATGATTGAGCTTACACGCGAGGATAAATCATTTTTTATATTGAAAGGGAGGCAAAGCAATTTATAGTTTGAAATAAATCTTGTATGAGTTTACTTTGGCACTATTCCATTCTTATAAGACAAGTCGAATGTTAGATGCACAGAAATATTAGATCGAATGAAACTGAAAGAACGTCGAATCTCTTACCGAAAATATCATTACAAATCCGTGAATAACACGTTATTATAAAATTGAAAATGTAAAAATTATCACGTAAAACCAGTTAAGAAATCGAGAGAAGCATCTCTGGTCTTAAATGAAATCGAAAACTCAAAAATAAAGCTAAGCATAAGGAAGTGCATTCAATTTTGAGCCCTATGGCGGAATTCAACACGGTATTAGGTAATATCTTGTTCGTTTGTGCAGACATGAGCTTGCACTAGCTCAATCTTTTGTGAAAACTAGAGCAGCTTGCCAAAATCATGCTACCCGCCGGTAAATGGACGTCAACCGCGAATAATTCGCGCTGCTACTGCTCGCATATACGTACCCGAAATAAGCCGAAATGATTGCTCGCTTCGAGCCAAGTACTCGTATAGCATTGCTTAAGCTCGAGCTTATTGAATGCTGATAGTATTATGGTTTCTAGAAAATTTTTTTTTAAATAGCCCGAATTATTATTCAGAATGTGCGATTAGCATATAAAAGTTTTGTCATTCTCGTATTTATTAAATTCTATTCTAACCTATTTTTATTTAAAATGTAAACGATAAAGTGTTACGTTTATTAAAAGAACTTTGCACATTTGTTTAAAAAAATAATGCAGGCGGTGTTCACAGAAATACATTACGCACAATGTCTTTCTTAATATTTTCTTTATATTTATCGAATCACTTTTATTTTGAACAATTGGATTTTCCACATTCTATCAAAAGCCTACTAAAAATACTTACATAGAATGTTTCTTTCGTGTAATCTTCGCGTGCATTTGAATATCTGACTGAAAACGCTTGTTGAAAATGTTTTGTTTCTCTTGATCCATCGATCTAAAAAACAATGATAACACACATTGCAACGCTTAAAGAAACTATTTTACAATTGTAAAATAATAAAAGTAAATGAATCTGTAATATCTAGAAATTCATTGGATAATGATCGCATTCGTTTGAAATTGAAAATCAGTCACATAACCGACGCAAGCACTAATACGCAGCGAGAATTCGGTATCCCTCACTGCAATCCTCCCGGTGTACTAAATAAAGCCTGCAAACTCATCGCTGCATATGCAAGAGTTGAATATAACCGGGATGTTGGGTTCTCTTTCTCTCTCGTTAGGCAACGTCGACGGTGGCGGGAGCCGGGCATCGGCAATTGCGAATGCAAGACGAGCAGCATACGCGGCGTCGGAAGTACGCGCAAGCACGTTGCCTCGTGTCCGCCGGATCGAAGACTCACCGACACCAAGTCCACCCAGTTTAGCAGACAGCGCTGTTGGATCATCGGCCGAAGGTCTTATCAACAATAATTTGTCGCTACCGTCTACCGAAGCTGCCTTCAGACCATGCAGTGATGGATCGGATAGTTTGGCTACGTCGAGTGCGATTGCAAGCCCGGAGCCTGTGAACAGTAATGTCGACGAGGATTGCGCTCCGGCGCGGGTCAATGTCGCTGCTGTCGAACATGAGAAGCCTAGCGAACACGTTGTCAAGGAGAGCTTGCAAAGAGGTTGGTCGATTAACTAATATTCATCGCCCGTTATTGTCGTTTCATTTGCGTGCGAGTCATTTGAGGATTCAATGTTATTAAAGGCTATTCGGTTCATAGGAAAATCAATTAAAACAGTCGGACGACTTGACATGAACTTGTCGCTTGCGCTGCTCCATTTTCATTTATAACTCTGAGCCGCAAATGTTAAGGTCATGCGTCAAGTGAAGGTTCTTCTTGTTTATTCTTCACATTTATCTCAAAATATAAAGAAAGCGTCAATTAAATGATAAGAAATTTTAAGGCACGTTATGAAAAATTCATTGTCAAATTCATTACAAAGCTTTGAGTTCTCATGCTTCTGCGTGAATTCGAATTCACTTAAAAGCGCGCCCGAATGATTTGCTTACTCTATACGTTCATTCTCCCTTGCGCGACCCTAGGCGCATTCTCTTTGCCAATCAATTAAATGGCATCAAAATTTGGCGAGCTATTTATAGTGTAGATTCAAAAAGCAACTTTATTTATCTAATCTTTGTAGGCTTGAATAAGACGAATTATTATATCTTAAAAAAATCAAATTTTCATCAATAATAAACCCGGAGAATGATTTTTCAGAAACCAATGTTATATTTATTACGAATGGTCAGTTGCTTCAGGTGCTAATTAATATGTGATGGGGATTCTCTTTTTCTCGCTCTCATAGTATGTTTATTTTACAATAATTTTCAATGCAAATCCATTTTATACAAATCAGATAATACATAACTGATGGTCTATTGTATTAATCCCTGCTTTTATGCATTCAAAACGAAACTTTTAGAAAATGTACTTGTAACAACTAAAAAGATCATTGACAAATTGAGTGTTGTCGTCGAATTCTTTCCATGCATGTCAGTTTTTCTTTTTTTTTTCAATGAACCCTTTAACTCCCATTCTTGGAGATGGGGAGGGGGATACTACACTTTCATCATGGTCATCTCAACATGTAAACAAAGTACACGTGAGAATGCAGCAAAAGTCAGCATTTCCGGTTGGCACAATGGACTCACGTGCTCATTGGATAATTTTGTACGGAAGCATCTCTTCCTTCTTTTCTATTTTGGGGAAGCACAAAAGGTGGCATCTCCTCTATTTTCGGGACACATGTGTGTGGGTGATGTGCGACGACGACGCGGGCTCTTTTTCTCAGAGCCGCGCGCGCGTCATTGCGTGTGTGTGTCTTTATCGCTGTTTGTTTGAATCGCGATGCGCTGACGCTTGGCGTCTGTGGTAACGATCGACTTATAAGGAGTGGATGGAAATCCGATTGATAGTCGTCATCTCGATTTTGCGATGTTTTCGTTGCTTACTGGCATTCACATTTGTTGTTATTGTTGTTGCTTGTAGCGTACAATTTTACGAAAATTACCAATAGAATTTTATGAGAAAAACTTGGAATAATATGTTTGGAGATTTTAAAGAAGCCATCTACAATGTAATCTTGGTAAAGACAATCTAACCAAAATTGCGTTGGAATTTCATTACTTAACCAGCTTATTCAAACAACGGTATTTCTTTTTTTACCGAGTTAGTAATCAATCACCTTGAAAGAATGCCGTTTAATAGCAGTCGAGTTTACAATTAGCTGCAGTCTATACGAAAGTTGAAAAAGAAGAACTCAATGAAAAAATGTAGATTCGTTATAAAGTTTCGCGAGCTAAGCGATGGAAGCTCATAGAAATTTCATGGACTAGTTGGCACTCAAAAATCAAATGTCGCTGATCTGTATTAGCATCTATTCCCTCGCTTGCAACTTAATGAATAGGACTTAAACGTAAACGATATCGCATATCAGACGATCTCTCCTTGATGGTCGTATCGACGGAGCGATTTCTTCGGAAAAGCATTAAAGCGATAAATGTTGATTGTCTGCACTGAATAAAATGGTCAATAGTTAGGTATCAATATGAAATTTGTTTGAAAAGTAAGGATAGAATTGAAAAGATTTACGGACGTCATATTTTTTGAATATTCATCTAGGAAATGCCTTGATGAATTCTTTACTGGAGTTGAAGATGAATTGTTGGTAAAATGATGAAAAAATACACGAAACCGTTTTTCAGAAAGCCGTATCGAGCCACACGAGGTAATAATAACACCACCGCAGGAGGACACAATCCTCGACGTAGACCTGCGAAATTTGGCGAATTTACGCTTGAGCCAGGCAAGCGAAGCGAGCGAAGCGCCCAGCGAAGCAAGCACTGCCACCACGGCAACAAGCGAGTCAGTACAGCCAGTGTCGCCGGGTGGCAAATTACGACGCTACCGTGGCGACACGAGCAAGAGACGCAAGGGTGTCTACATAACACAATGGCCCGAGCCAGCTGTCGACTCGGCTGAGCTTGCGATTGCCAGGTTAAAGCTCAGTGGGCAGAGTAGCGAAGAGCGAGACGAGCCACCGGCTTCGGCCACACCAAGTGATCTGTCGGATTGCGAAGGACAGACGCCCAGGAGGTAAGCTACTTGTCTTCTCTTCGCGCAGCTCTCATTTTTTTAAGCTCAATTCTCAAAGATATATTACGCACGCACGCATATACATACGTACGTAATATACCTTTCGATCTTACGCGCGCGAGCTTTCACGCGATGGGATGGTTTGTATAAAAGGAGAACAAATCGACATCCCAAGTGTAAAAAAAGTCTCTTATTTGAAAGGCTGACTCGTGCGCGCACGCGAAGCGCTCGCATTTGAAAACTTGTCTCCTTTCTTCCACTAGATTGTGTGGACTCTATTAATACTGAATCCACAGGATATCGCGAAAAGTTTACTCGGCACGCTAGCATTTAAAATCAAGGATATACAAACGCGCAAACACGCGTGCTCTCGCATATTCACGCTGAGCCACGTGTCTTGCTTTCCCGTTGTCTTTGATAAGCAACTTTATATGTGTTATTCACGTTAATCAGGGTATCGATACAAACAAATATTAATTTGCAATGTAATTTTGCGCGTTCAAACGTCCCATAAGCTTACTTCATTCTTAATATCTTTCGAAATCTACACGTGCGATTTTGGCTTTGTACATTTTTCACTCTCAATTAACTAGTACATCAATATCATATATACTTTAGTACTTACGATCTTTTATTTTCTGCAAGTGTTATACATAGAAACCCTGTTTATTTTCATTAATACATCAATTATTGTACTACTCTGTATTATAACCTGATGATTTACTAGTTGCTTCCGGAATTCAGCAATAATCTGAAAAAAAGCAGACGGTTCTTATATATCATAAACTCAATTTGCGTTGATCGGCGTTATACATTAATAATTAAAGTTTTCACGAAAAACAGAGAATCGGAATGAAGAAATTGTGAATTGTCTTATTTCTAATGTAAAAGGTACAGTAAACGTCCATTACGCGGACCTTACGGCCAGATGTTAGAGGCTGAGATGGCAAAACAACAGTCTCGAGCAGCCGATCTAGACGACGTTGGCTTACGTCAGAGGCGTAAAGTCTCGGCCAATTTGTCATTTAATGCAGGCGGTAGCAATACCAGCAGCGCTGAGACACCGCCTACGCATCACCGCACCACGTCCAGTCCAAGCAAACTGGAAGGTTTACCCGGACCAAGTCCTGAATTACTTGCTGAACTTTTGCGGGGTTCGTCCGAGAGAGTCGCTTGTGCACCGGCTCATCCTAATGTGAGTATTTGTTCTTTGCTTTACGCACAGGATGATCTTTTGATTTCGCTGTGTAAAAGTTGTCGATCATGGTATCAAAGCTTACCAACGTGATTTTTAACTTTTTTACTCTTCAAATGCAGATTTACGTCAACAACATGTTGCTATGTAATATTACAAAATCACTCTGATTTACACGCATAAGAGTTTATATATGAGGCGATCGATAGCGTTGCTGACCAACAATTGTTTAAATTCATTCTTTTAAGAAATAAGACGCGCCAGTAACGGTATGACGAACTTGATAGATTATGCAATTTGTTTCATAGTTGGCGATTCCCTTATGAGAGCAACCTGCATAAAATCAACAACTAAATTGCGTGGAGAAAGCTTTTGTTTAGCGTGATTAAATGCTACAATGATAAGCACAATAAAGCAGTATATATGTATTCAGCTACACTCACACACACGCACGCACTGTACATTTTCGACAGTTTTTTCAAAAACGTACATTTCGTGAATTATATTGTTATTCTTGTTGCGTTGATATAAAGAGCGGAGTGCGCACGTGAAAAGCTTCCTACATGAATATATATACACAGGCCAACGTTCAATTATTAATAGACGAGTTTAAGAATAACAATCCTCCGACCTACTAACATTGTTATTTGCAAGAGTGGGTAAAATGTAAGGCTTGCTGATGAGATCCACTCGGTGAGAACAATTACACGTCTGTCGATGGCATGTGCATGTGAAGTCTCGTCGACGGCCATTCATTATTGTTATTCAGAGCTGCCTTTTATACAATGCAGCTTGCTGTGCAAGCGCTGTTGCCTCTGCTGCTGCTGGTGCTGCTTCGAGTGTTACTTTGCGGTTTATTCCTAGATCTGAAAATAACTAGGTACGAAGTTGCACTTGAAATAGCATATTTTTTTTAACTTTACCTTGGGGTAAATTTATGGTATTAATAATAGATTGTCAAGTGGGATAATTGTTGGTCAATTAGCATTTTATAGTTTACCAATACGTAACGCATATGCTTTCGTCGATGCAATCAGAAGAAAACATATATTCGTCAAGAAATCGTGCAATTTAAAAATTATGAAAATCATTAGGTATTTTTTTTCACAGTAATCGTCATGTCATAATAATACGTTATTATATATAATCAACGCGTTGTTTTTTAAGCCATTAACTACACCTTATATCACGCGTACTCGCCTTTTAGGAGGCAGAGGTATGATGACGTCATTTACATTCGAGCTGTTTTGCTCGGAAATTCATGAATGAGAGAAGCCTGTCCGCCGCGTGCGCACACGCGCGTCTTTCTTCATCCACTTCGTCAACGTCGTGACGTTGCGACGATAAACATGTACGAAGCAGTCTGACCTTGTAACTAACGCACGCACTGCTGTACTTTTCCTTCTTGGCAAAAATATTTTTCATTATTAAGTTCTTGGACGAAAATATTCAATGAAGAATGATCATTGAAATTAAGATAAGAATAGCTTCTGAACGTTCGATGACTAGCTATGCTTTGCTTGGGCCAGTGATATGAAGTTGTAAGTTGTTAGTGGTATGACCACTTACTGAACAGTGAAATATCTCTATGTTAGACCTTCTTATTTTTTTCTATGTTTCTAGAATCTTATCGATCCTCTCTAATCGTCAATATCTACAGAATATTTTCTGTATTTTTCATTTTGTAAAATATCTTCAATTATGAAATATGAAGTAACAGATGAACATATTTTGATGAAATTATATTTCCGTTTTTGCAAATATTATATCTTATTTTTCATTACCTGAACGGCTAAAATTTTTCGAATCACCACGTTTTAATTCTGCTTTGGTATGCTATTGCAATTTTTAAAACAATAACAAGTTTTTTCGAATAAGCTCATCTAGCTTCGTAGCCAAAACTGTATTAAAATCATCTTAGAGATGCTTGAGTTTTCTTTCAACAAATCTTTTGTACAATGCGTTTTCTCAAGAAAATTGCTGATCAAAAGACCGATGAAGATTAAAAAATACTTGTTCACAACTGTAAACCATCGTAAGTTATCTCTAAGTAGAACATTGAAAACGACTACTAAATAAATCATAGAGTGAAAGCTTAGTTCGCTTCTAAAAATACTAAAATGTTTATTTACAAATCACGCCCACTCTGAGCTTCATTCACTAAGTTCCGTGAGAAAATTGCACCAAGTAGCTAGAATCAAGCTCAACCGAGACTGGCGCTCAGGCTTCGCTTACATCCAAAATTAGAACGACTTTGCCACCTGGTCATCTACGCTTGTGTGTGCGTGCGTGCGTGCGTGCGCGCATGCACGCGTGTATGTGTGTAGAAACAGAAGGAAACGAACGATAGAATGACGTTGATGAGGTATAGCTAACCAAGGGAGTGAGACAAAAAGAAATCAGCTCGTTTGGCAACAAAGGATGCTTTTTTGCACTTTGCTCAATATCACTAACCAAGTTCTACTCGTATAACTGGGTTTTAATTGTAGTTTTAAGCTTACACGATTGTCTGTTGTTTGATAACAAATACACTCATCAAGATTTTGCATCTGTGGAATATTTGAATGATATTTTGATAAAGTGTAAGAATATTTTACATTTCATAATAGTGAATAGTTCATGTCGACTGATTGACTGTCGCAAGATTAATATACCAGCATGGTTGGACTTGTACCGAACTCAATTACACGTTATTCACTCTGTTGTTGTTTATGAAATTCCGCTTGTTCAAAAATATCGTCAAAAATATACGATTCGCTAAGCCAATCAACTGACCAATTACGGAAATGAAAAAACCGAATTCGTATATTACAAAAAATGGATTTTCAATATTTACAATAGATTTATGTGAATGTCAATGATTATAACCTGGAATATCGACGGTATAAAGGAAAATTTTACTCGATAAATCGATGACTGAAGGCGATGAGTTGTCGCTCGGTACATATTACTATTTGTTCCAGAAAGTTGATGAAAATTTCGTGAGAGAGAAAGAAAGCGAATGGAAAGAGATATTAAGTCTTGACAAGAGAACGTGTCAAGGTGACGTTACGAACAATCGCATTATTACGCGCGCGGCGTTCATTTTCATGTTGATTTCCAATGTACTGCTGCTGTGACAGCTTGAAATTGAATTTCTCGAGTATAGCCCTATTATAAAAATATCCATCCGAGCGTGAAAGTCTTTGTGTCCATAATCAATAAAAGACTATGTAATATAAATGTTGGTCGGTTGAATTGTGTCGGAGAATGTGTATCCGTGAGAACTAAAAAAGGGAGACTTTTAATTAGCCGAAAGTAGAAGATTTACAAGAGATTACACGGTCAAACGAGCAGGCATTCAAGGTTGCTTAGTTATACCCTCTAAGATTTTCCGCAAGCAGTCGTGCGCTCTCGCTCGACACGGCTGTGCGCAGTGCGAAAGGAAAGCAAACAGAAATAGAGCGAAGAGCTCAACTGAATGGAAAGTCGAAAATAAGAAGCGAAGAAAAAAGTGATAGAGCCAAGAAGCGTGAAAAAGAGAAGGCGTACGGGTTAATAGAGCCGATTTGGGAGCTGGACCGGAAGCGAAAATAGATGAAGCTCCTAGCTAAGCAAAGTTTCCGATTTTGTTGATTCGCGTACAGACTGGACAATTCACGGTAGTTGCCAGTACCAGTCACGAGAGTTTTCGCAGCGACACGTATTTTTTACTTCTGCAAATTGCCAAGAAGCTTGCCAGCTTCTATCCCATTTGTCCGTTTCTCACACGCAGATTATCGCTCGACTTTCATATCAATAGATCGTTCTTGGTCAATCGCCTAGCAAACTTCTTTTGTACACGTGAATGGGATCCGTAAATGCTGGACGTGATCACTCATTTCTTCGATACAAATTGATGAATCAAGCGAGCGAACCCTAGATTGAGACAAAGTATTTATAGATTGTCACGCCAGAAGCTCAACTCTGCTGTGCCAATATATTTTTTTAAATATTCTACAAAAACGAAATAAATCGAAGACAATCAAGAATAATAACAGCTAAGCATTCTACTCGTATTTATCACCATCGAAGATCAAACACTCGACTTGTTTCACTTCGTCTCTAAATAGAAATGGCGCCGCGTTTCAATTTGACACCGGCTCACCTTATTCACCAAAAACAGAATATAGGCGGCAAAGACAGAGAGACAGAGATATGGAATTAACGACATATATTAGGACAGCTGACGCATCCAAAAGACTTTAGCATGGATTCCTTCATGAAAGTGCCGGAAGAGAAATCAAAACTTTTCTGTTACACGTCATTGACCTATTTCTCATAAAAAAACTGGCAGATTTTCATTTGATCGCTGCAGACAAGAGCGTGATTTTCACATTTGCAACATTGCAAGTACATAAGTTTCACTGCTCCTTCACTTGATTACCTGTCGCAATTATAGCGATGGCAAGCTGTCTCCAACGCGAGTCTCTATCTGGCGAAAGCTTCGTTGAATGGGCTTAGCGAGTGCTTTTATACAGATCGATGATTGATCCTTTCTCTAAAATCATAAGTTCCTTTCAACAAATTTTCTTTATTCCTCCAAGAAATGGTATTTATTACACGCTCAGAAAATACTCCATTGAAATAAGAACCTTAAATTCAATGTCAAAAAAATGTTTCGCGATGGTAAATTAATATTTAATAACGGAGAACGAATTGCCAAGTAAGTGGCATTCAAAGTTAAGCACCTTATTATTGATGGACTCTGTGTTGCACGAGGGTTTGTCCCTTTGCAAGTTGTACTTCAATCACATGTCCATTACAAGTCAACGGGTAGTGATCTCGACGACCAATCAAAGCCAACGGTAAGTGAAGACAGTGACTTTAGAGTCAGCATAGTAGGAGGCGTCGAAATACAAGAATGACGGGTCTTTTAATTTCCGATATGGGAACAGAGCGAAGAGAAACGAAATATAAAAGAGATTGCAGAAGCCTAATAGTTACGTGCTGCTGCTTCGGGAATGAGAGATCGATGACGT